GCTGGAAACTGGGCCTGCGTCCGGAGCTCCTCCTGGGGGCCCGGTGCACGCTGTGACGGTGGTGACCCTGCTGGAGAAGTTGGCCACCATGCTGGAGGCACTGAAGGAGAGTCAGGGCGGCCTTGCTCAGAGGCAGGGCGGCCTGGCAGGCTCCGTACGCCGCATCCAAAGCGGCCTGGGCGCGCTGAGTCGCAGCCACGACACCACCAGCAACACGCTGGCACAGCTGCTGGCAAAAGCGGAGCGCGTGGGCTCGCACGCGGACGCTGCTCAGGAGCGGGCGGTGCGCCGCGCTGCCCAGGTGCAGCGACTGGAGGCCAACCACGGGCTGCTGGTGGCGCGCGGGAAGCTACACGTCTTGCTTTTTAAGGTCAGTGACCTCAGAAGTCCCCCAGTCTGGGACCTTTTCCGGCCTTCAGGCTATCATTCTGGGGACTCCGTTTTTCACCCGCCTATCCTATAGGCATTCTCCACCCCACGCGCAGCTGGCAGCTGAGAAACAGACTTCCAGTGCCGCACCTACTAATTGCACGCACCCCATCCGGCCTTCACACGCTCGAGCCCCGCCCGCCCAATCCCAGCCCGCCCAGAGCTCAGACACGTCGGCAGAATTTGGTCTAAGTCCCAACCCATCCCCCCAAATGGCCGGAGTGCTTTTCGTGGTAATATTCTGCCTCCACTGGTTCTTGCCCTTGTGGCCACTAACCTTTATTTCACGTCCCGAACAAGGTCTCATCTACTTCCCGTACTTCTGTAGTTCATTCGTAGCCCTTCCTCTCCCATTCCTCCTCCGCCCCCTGACCTTCCCAGCCCTGCATTTTCTTCCCTACTCTGACTGTGGAAGCTTTCCCTGTGTAACTGAGGAGTGGGTCTCAGGCTGGTCCTGGGTAAGAGGCTGCCAGGGTCAATTCTGTGTGGTCACATGCAGGAGGAGGCGGAAATCCCAACCAGAGCCTTCCAGAAAGCGCCAGAGCCCTCGGATCTGGCGGACCAGTCGGAGTTGAGCCCAGAGCAGCCAGAAGCCGAAGATGCAGAGAGCTCTGACGAAGAGCCGGTGGAGTCCAGAGCTCAGCGGTTGCGGCGTACAGGTTTGCAGAAGGTTCAAAACCTTCGAAGGGCCCTTTCGGGCCGGAAAGGCCCTGCGGCGCCACCATCCACACCAGTCAAGCCGCCTCGCCTTGGGCCAGGCAGGAGCACTGAAGGCCAGCCTGAAGCTGTCCAGCCCACGCTGGAGTCCACGGTGGAGCCAGAGCCTCCGCAGGACACGGAGGAAGATCCCGGGAGACCCGGGCCTGCTGAAGCAGCTGTGCTTCAAACAGAAAGTGCAGCCTGATAGCTGGGTGCTACTCAAATCCCCTGTGCTTATGCCTTATCCCAAAATAAATCCTTTCAGAATGCAGCATTCACGCCCAAATAAGGAGCGAATCCTGCATCCACTGCCCAGCGATGGCCCTCCGTTCCTGGCCCTCCCTTCCTTTTTCAGCCTAGTATCTTGTGTCCTCTAACAGGAGAGGCGCAGCTTACACTTACTTGCACTCACAATCAATAAAAGTTATTTCATCTACTCAGACTCCATGTGAAAGGGTGAGGGTGGGGTTGGGGAAGGCAGTACAAGGAATAGGCAATATTGGGACTGGAAGTGGCTTGAATGTCAGATGATTTTGCCACTTTCCTGTGACTCTGGGCTCTACTCCAGTGGCACATAGAAACATCCCGCTGGCCATTTGCTCCTTAAACACTTTCTTCATGGGGACATACAATCACATTTTTTTTTTAAAGTATCTAGTACAGTCCTTTGTTTATGTGCTCAATAGATGTCATTTTTTTTTTTTTTTTTTTGTCTTTTAGTTTCTTCCTCTGCCCTCTTAGGAGTTGTGTTTTTTGGCCCAGCTGGTGGCCTCCGGAGGCCAGGCAGAGGAGTTCAAAGCCAGCCTCAGCAAAAGCAAGTTGCTAAGCAACTCAGTGAGACCCTGTCTTTAAATAAAAAAATACAAAATAGGGCTGGGGATGTGACTCAGTGGCCAAGTGACCCTGAGTGCAATCCCTGGGACCCCCCCTTCCCTCCAAAAAAGAGTTGGGTTTTCCAGAATTCTTTAATCATTCCTCTTTTTACTCTGGGTTCTTTTTGATTGACATTCAATTCCAGGCCTCTCCTACCAGCCTCTTACAACCCAGACCACTATGATGAGCTGTAGTTGAAAAGGACTCCAAAAGTAGCAATCTATCTTCTACCTTTTAAATAAGTTTCATTGTAACTTCACAGTTATTTACTGAGTATCTGCTATGTAGCAGCCCTACTAGGAATGGTTCAAAAATTCTCCCCCTTTCTGTATTTTCTTTACCAGCAAATAGTATCATCATCTACACAGAAGTCTGGGAGACCTCATTGGCTCAAGAACACTCAAGCCCTCCAATATGGAAAGTTATATCAATTTGATCTCTACAGTTTTTTTTTTTTTAAACACTTGTATCCGCTTGTCTTCTTTTAGGCTTTATCTTCCCCCTGACCAGTATTCGAATTTCTAATTTGATCACATCACTCTCCTGAGTCAGACCCTTGAGTGTCTCCCCATCATCTGCAGAATACAGCTCAGGATCTTTAATGTTAACTTCAAGGCCTTTCATGAGCTGGTCCTTGCCCATTTTTATAAGTATACTTCTCCTTACGCTGCTATAAGTTGTGGTCCCTAATCCAAAGATCTGAAATCCAAAATTCTCCACAACATTGAAATGACACTGTGATAGGTGGACTCTCAGGGAGAAAGAGATCTTTACTAGATGGAGGCACAGATCTGTAAGCAAGACTAGTCATGCTTGTCTGTTTAGTTAGATGATCACAACCTCTAGCATATGCTTGTACCAGATCCATTGGAACAGAAACCTAATTAAAATGTCACCAGATTAAAAGACCTAAACAGTGTGTTCACAACTGATTTATGGTTAGACTGCTTAATCAAGAAGAAATATTCTGAACCCCAAATATCAGATGACTGAGATGGAATATAATTTTCACAAAAGCTGACCCAGGAATCTCCACATTCCTTTCCAGGAAAATCCTATATCTAGTCAGAGAGCTCAACCATAGGTACATTACTCCTCTTCTCTGAGAGGCAAGAGGTGTCTGCACTCTGCCTTTTGAGTGAGTATGTATACCTTTGCTTGGCTGTCCTTTAGTAAATCTTTGCTTGTGCTTGCTTTGCTTTTGATCCATCCTGAAATTCTTTCCAATGGCATAAGTCAAAAACTTGCCTGGGCTGAGTTGAGATTCTACTGGCCCCTTGGGAGAACCCTGTCTTAAATGAGAACACCACAGGTGGAAAATTACATATCTACCTTCATGTGATGTGTCACAGTCAAAATGCAGGTGTAAAATTATTGTACAAAATTATCTTTAGGCGATGTGTATAAGGCATATATAAAACATAAATAAACTTTATGTTTAGACTTGTATTCCTCCCTCAAGATATTTCTTTATGTATATGCAAATTCCATGTTCTGAAATCTGAAATTTTTTTTTGTTATCCAGAAAGCTTCTGGCCCAGAGCATTTTGGATATTGAATATTCAACCCATATGGTATCAGACTGCTCAGTCTCATCTCTACTCTCCTGCAAAAAGCAGCCAAGGCACACTTGTTTCAAGGCTAGTTGTTTCTCTTCCTTGCTCCCAAAGCACCACTTGCACATCCCAAAGTGCTAATGGCACTAATTGTGCTTGTTGCAGTTATTCATCCATCCTACTCTAGTAGACTATGACTCTTTTCGGTAGGGACAGTTTTATTAATTTCTGTACTTTCCATACCAAGTACTCTGCTTGGTACAGAGTAGACCCTCATAAGGGGCTGAGGATTGTTCCCTGCTGCAGTACAGCAAGAGTATTACAAAGAAAAATGAGAAGCAAAGAGGAGTGCCTAAGAATGAGGAGCATGATATCCTATTCCTTCATTCAATCACTGACTGAAAGTAGGTCACCAGTTTTACATCATATAATAGCATTTTTTAATACCTCCTGTGTTCTAGGCCTTACATTGTCTTGTGAACAGAAAAATGGGATAGTGTCTTCAAGTAACTGAGAGTTTATAGGGAGATACAAACACTAGCGATAATGAATGTCAAAAGTGCTGTGATAGTTACATGGGAGTTGTTTGAGAGCCAAGAGGGAAGGGTCATGATTCAACCCAAAGAAGGAAAAATGGGGGATATTTAAGAAAGGCAAATAGTGAGATGGAAAACAGGAATGGTGAAGGGAAGTAGAGCTCAGTAGTTTATATTTTGGGTCCTCAGTTTCTTGATCTATGACATGGAATAATAATAGCCCCATTGGGCTATTTTAAGGATAAAGTAACATCAGTAAAATTCATAGCACATTTCCTAGAACATAGTTTCTGCTCCCTAAATTCAACAAATTTATTCCAGGCACTATTTTAAAAGCTGAAACTATAGTGGCACATAGGAAAGACAAGATCTTTGCCTTCATGAAATTAAATTCCAATAAGAAGAGACAGGTAACAAACAAAAGAGAACATATGAACCATATGCTGGTTATAGGATCTTAAGAAAAGAAAACAGATTAAGGGTATAGATAATGACTGGGGAGATGTGTACTTCAGATGAAGGTGTTGGTGATTATTAATAGGACCAGATTTTCAGGTATGAATTACTCCTTGACATTTGAGTTCAAGTAGTGACTTATGTTTTATTTTCATGGATACAGTTAGAAGAGTTTAAGCTTCTATCAATGATAATTGGTGGAAAGCCCATTTTCAGTTATTTTAGTTATCCTTCCTTTCCCTAGATTATGCCCTTAAACCAGGAGGCTCACACGTGGTCCATCTGATGCAATTGTTCCTTATGACCACTGGGTGTCACCATTGGGGTGTCAGTGTCCTAGCTGAGGTCTAACTCCCCAGTCCAACTTCATAGAGGGTGAGGGCTGTTAGTAGGAAATGCAAGAGGTAGCTTTGGTGTGGGGATAGAGGGCTTTCTGTGGAAGGTGGCTCTGCAGTAGCTCCATTTCATCTGGGGACATCAGGGTTCTTCCTACAGGCTGCCATGCCTTAGAGTTCAGACTACTGCAGTTTCCCAGTGGCCAGCCCTTTCAAGATTCTGCTGCCTTAGAAGGCCTGGTACCGACAGGCTCAGTTTTCTATCTCCAAGGAAAAATAAATTGTTATTTTTCCAAATCCTTTGGTGTCTACCTGATCCCCCCCCCCATACCCCCTGCCAATACCTTAAAAAGCTTAACTGCACATTTCCCACATAAATTATCTTGGTCCCTAACTCCTAGGAACCCAAAGGCCTGGAAAACTTCCAAAGAGAAGGGGAATGTCACTTTTATTTGTCTACAGTTGCAAGCAATAAAAGTTGGATTTAATCACTTCCCTTAGAACTCTAACTGCCAAGTGAGTGGAATAATCTAGCAAGCTAGAAAGAACATTTTTTATTCTGCAATGAAGTCTACAAGGGAAACCAAAGTCGTATCTTAAAATGGTTAAAGATAATAGGCAGGATTATCTAACTCAGCATGCCCATATTCTGCTGTGATATCTCATACGTGGGTAAAAAAATATCTATTCACGGTAGGAAATTTCATCTCTAGGCAAGTACCAGAGATCCTTTTGGGTCCTTTATTGCAAGCAGAAGGATCAGGTAACCTCAGCACTGATAACTCAAAACCATCAAATCTGTGTGCAACATGAAAACACCCTGTACCATCTTGTAGTGATGATGAACTCACTATCTCTCTGGCAACTTTATATTTTGGACAACTTTGACCCAAAACAAAACCTTTTCTTTATTCTGAGATCAAAATCTGCCTTGCCTCTATTATTCAGGAACATCTGCACAACAAAGTTCCTGTATTTCAGTGATGTATATGTTGGTGGGGTCTACTCCAGCAGGGCACACAGGAAAGTCTCTTCCAAGATTTCCCCTCATTTCTTCTTCAGGCCAAACATTACTGGTTTAAACAGTTATTCTTCATGATGTGTTCTTTCACATCATGAAGTCTTGGCCATTCTTTTGTGAGTTGCTTTAGTTTGTCCATATCTGTTTTAAATAGGGAGATGGCAAAGTGCCATGGAAAAAGCATGGGTTCATAGTAAAGACATCAGAACTTGATTACTGGTGATGGATAATTTCCTTTTCCTAGGTCTATAATGAGAACCAAATAAGATTGCTCGTTTACTCATTCATTTGATATTTGTTGTTCTAGGTGATGGAGATTGATGATGTATTATATAGATAAGGATGCTGCTTTCATGGAACACACATTGAACTGGCAACTGTAATAGAGTTTTGGATAAATGCTCTGAAGGAGAAGGACATGGTACTATAGAAGTGTACAGAGGGGGCCTCTAACCCAGCAGGGATGGTTGCAGTATGGGAGAAGACTTCTGAGGACAAATAATCTTCCCTCCAATCTGATTTCCTCTTCTATTTATGTTGTAGTCTGTTGTATGATTTCTTTCTATGTCAATTTATTAAGTGACTTTTAGAATGAACAGTTATAATTTTAAAAATATACTCATCTGGATATCCCAATATTATCTCAGTATTCAAGATTC